GACTTCTGTCAAGGCCCCCACAATGAAAAATGATAGCCCATATGTTCCTGAGCACTGCTATCCCAGCCTGGTGTGCTAAAAAAAGTGTGCACCAATATTGTTTGACAGATACATCTTTAATGTACAGAGTCATCACAGCAAGTCAAAAGTGTCTGCTAATGATGCTGCCTGAAAATCAACATGGAATGGAGAAAGGAGATGAACTGCATGCTGTTCATCATCAAATGCTAAAGGTCATGTTAACTTTGGGAATTTTTTGTTGTTGTTGTAGTTCACAGAAATGTAGAAAGACAATCTCACATATGGCCCACTTTTTTAGTATTAAGGCAAAACTGTCAAATTTTAAAAGTCAGGAGCAAGTTCTTGCAAGAAGTTTTAGGTCACACAGACTATAACAGAGCTGATATTTTATTTTATCTTGTTGGTTTTTTGTTTGTTTGTTTGGTTGGTTGGTTGGTTGTTTTTTCAAGACAAGATTTCGCTGTGTAGTCTTGGATATTCTGGACTCGCTTTGTAGACCAATCTGTCCTTGAACTCACAGAGAACTGCCTGCCTCTGCCTCCCCAAGTGCTGGAACTACAAGTGTGTGCCACCTTGCCTGGAGCACTGGTATTTTAAAATCTGAAAAATGTCTGCCCATCCATGAGATATTTATGATATTTATTTTATGAAGTTTTGTTCAAGAGGGAAGTAGTGACTTGAGTTTTTGATCTTAGCCATTCTGATGGGTGTAAGGTAGAATCTCAGGGTTGTTTTGATTTGCATTTCCCTGATGACTAAGGATGTTGAACATTTCTTTAAGTGTTCCTCTGCCATTCAATGTTCCTCTATTGACAATTCTCTGTTTAGCTCTGTACCCCATTTTTTAATTGGGTTACTTGATTTGTTGCTGTTTAACTTCTTAAGTTCTTGACCCGGAGTAAGATGCTCAATCTTCATTCAGAAAGACAAACGAGAAGGATATTGGAAGAGGGAGAAAAGGGAACAGGACAGAAGCCTATCAGAGAGGTCCTCTAAAAGACTCTACCTAGTAGTGTATCAAAACATATGCTGAGACTCATAACCAAACTTTGGGCAGCGTGCAGGAAATCTTATGAAAGAAAGAGGAGGTAGAAAGACCTGGAGGGGACAGAAGCTCCACAAGGAGAGCAACAGAACCAAAAAATCTGGGTCCAGGAGTCTTTTCTGAGACTTATACTCCCAACAAGAACCATGTATGGAGATAACCTAGAACCCCTGCACAGAAGTAGTGCATGGCAGCTCAGTGTCCCAGAGGGTTCCCCAATAATAGAAACAGGGACTGTCTCTGACATGAACTCGTGGGCTGGCTCTTTGATCACCTCCACCTGAGTGGGGGGGGGGGCATCTTTACCAATCCACAGAGGAAGACAAAGAAGCCAGTCCTGATGAGATCTGATAGACTAGGGTCAGATGGAAGGGGAGGAGGTCCTCCCCTATCATTGGACTGGGGGAGGGACACAGGAGAAGAAGAGGGAGGGAGGGTGGGATTGGCCAGGGATGGGGTAGGGTGCTACAGCTGGGATACAAAGTGAATAAACTGTAATTAATAAAAATAAAATTAAAATTAAAAAAAGAAGGAAGTAGTGAAAGATTAATGACCATTTTGCAATACATCCTGGGGGTTGGGGAACACAGAAAACATCTAGCAGTGTTTAGAAGCAGGAAGATCCCTCAAACCTCACGTTCACTTTGCAGATGAAGCATGTGTCATCCATCACCAAGCACGTTCAGAGTCACGCTCAGAACGATGCCTAGTGTGCTGCCAGTGCTCAGTACGTGGACTGATAGTGTTTCTGTGTGCTACTTACAGTAATTCTATGACATGATTACGAGCTAATAGTTCAGATACAAACAAACAAATAAAAACAAAAAACTTTTCAAATTTTTGAAGTAACAGTACTTTTGAAGTAACAGACATATTATCTGCCACAAATACTCCTTTCTAGACCAAAATAGACTTTTCCCATTGACTTTGGTTATAATAGGAAAATATGAATAAAATTAATTCCATTAATTTTTTTAAATTAACTGTTGTTCCATCCATCCTGCCTGCAGATTTCATGAAGTCCTTGTTTTTAGTAGCTGAGTAGTATTCCACTGTGCAAACGTACCATTCTGTATCCATTCTTTGATTGAGGGACCTCTACGTTATTTCCAGATTCTTGGAACTGGGAAGACAGGAGGGAGAGGAAGCTGAGATCGAGCTATAAAGTAAATAAAAAATTAATAAAATATGTGGTGGGATGTTGTCATCTCAGAAAGAAGACTGGAAAACATTAAACCACAAAGTGGGTTTTTTTCTTGTTGTTGGTTTTTGTTGTTGGTGGTGGTGGTGGTAGCGTTTTTTTTTGTTGTTGTTGTTTTGTTTTGTTTTTTTGTTTGGAAAATGTAAAATTTCCTGAGGCCTACGTAAGAACAAAGGAAAGTACACATATTTCCTTATTTGGAACTTTGACATAATTATGAAAGAAAAATCCTGGCTTAATTTATTCATAGAATTTGCTCCCTCCTCCCAATCATTCTTTTGTTCTATTTTTATTCTTTTTTTTATTTTTTTTTATTTTAGGATGTATCAGTCAAGGTTGAGCCAGAGAAATGAAATCAATCCTGCCACATATTAAGAAATTTCATGAAGAAAATCACTCACGTGATCACCGGGGAGGAGAGACTTGTCAACGTGGAAACCCTAGGGCAGCCGGGGAAAGAACAGGATAGAACTCATGTGTGAGCAGATACATAGGTGGAGTTGTTACCTCAGAAGCTTGCGGCTCTCTGTGAGGCTTTTCCAGTAACTGACACAGGTCACAGGGTATGTAGGGTGGCTGGATTGATTCTCTTAAGAGGTGTTTGACTACAGATGTTTAAAAATCGTAGAGCTATTTAGAATGCCTCATAGATATAATACGGTAAATTAAAAAAAAATACTCGACTCAGGTAATATATTCACACAAACACTGTACATCAACCAACAAATAAAATAACCAAATAATAATCCATAGTCTGACACAATTTTAGAATACTTCTTAGGATTGGTTTCAGCCCAAGATAAGGTCTTTAGAAAACACAAGCTTATTTCTCATTCACATGACCTCACCTTGGGTATAGACCAGCTGGGCTATCCTGAGAGCCACTGCCTCATTAGTGACTTACTTGCTTAGGCAGATCTCCTCCATCAGTAAGGTTAACTACATCTTTGTTGCTATACTCTAAGTGACAAAAAGGGCAAGGGGCAGGAAAACCTGACGCTCTCCCATTTAAGGATCTCCCTGGAAGTCCCACCCTTCTATCTATGCTTCGCTGGCCAGTATTTGTCCACACATAGCCACAGAGAGCTGTTAAGGTCGGGCATGAAATACAGTCCCTGCTTCCAAGACATATGGACACTTAGTGTCATTGGTCATGTTGAGAAAGAAAGGAAAATGGATGTTAGAGTAAGAACCTCCTGCCTTACAATGGACTTGCAGTACTGATAAACATGCTACAGGCTGACATTTGTGTGCCCTTTAGGTGCCCGGGTACTAAAGAATTGATGCCTGGTCTAACACTCAAGGGAAGTGTTTCCACACTAAGGCCTAAGTGAGGCCTTGGGCTACTAGGGATGTACTATTGAAGGATATTGGGTACCCTGTTTCTTCCTCTTTATCACTTTTCCTTCCTAACCCATGAAGATGTGTAGCATTGTTCCAGCATGTGTCCCAGCCAGGCTCTGCTGCCTTCCTCAAAGCCACAGAGCCAACTCCTCCCGGCCATGGACTTCCTAAACAAAACTGAAATAAACCTTTCTTCGTATAACTCAATTATGTCAGCTTGTTTTGATGGTAAAGGGAAAAAAATAGATAGTTAACAACAAGAGTTGGGATATTTATGCCAACATAGATGATTTCTGAGAGTGAGCTGTGCAGGTGTGACCTGCATGCTCTTCGGGTTTACTGGGTTTTTCCTCTTGCTTTTAAACACCTTGCCAGGTTAGCAAATTTGGAAGCCTCTTGGCTCTGAGCCTGTGCTGACTCTGACAACTAAATATTTATCTTGTTTTCAAACACACTCTATGACATAGTCATTTTGTACTTTTTTTACATGAATGACTGTGTATATATACACAAGTGCATTTTCTTTTACTTTTCTTTTTTTCATTTTTATTTATTTATTTATTTATTTATTTATTTTTATTATTAGTTACATTTTATTAACTTTGTATCCCAGCTGTATCCCACTCCCTCTTTCTCTCCCAATCCCACCATCCTTCCCTCATCTCCTCCCTGCCCCTTTCCAAGTCCACTGATAGGGGAAGACCTCCTCCCCTTTCATCTGACCCTGTTTTTTCAGGTATCTTCAGGACTGGCTGCAATGTCCTCCTCTGTGGCCTAGCAGGGCTGCTCCTCCCTTGGGGGGTGGGGAGGTCAAAGAGCCTGCCATTGAGTTCCTGTCAGAAATAGTCCTTGTTCCCCTTACTAGGGTACCCACTTGGATACTGAGCTACCATGGGCTATGTCAGAGCAGAGGTTCTAGGTTATATCCATACATGGTCCTTGGCTGGAGAAACAGTCTCATATAAAGACCCCTGTGCCCAGATATATTTGATCTTTGTGGAGCTCCTGTCATCTCCAGGTCATACTAACTCCCCCTTCTTTCATATGATTCCCTGCACTCTGCCAAAGGTTTGGTTATGAGTCCCAGTATCTGCTTTGCTACACTGCTAGGTAGAGTCTTTCAGAGGCCCTCTGTGGTAGGCTCCTGTTCTGTTTCTTGTTTTCACCTACATCCAATGCCCATCCCATTTCTCTTTCTAAGTGAGGATTGATCATCTTACCCCGGATCTTCTTATATCTTATAGGTCTAAATAAGTGAGTATATACCATGTGCATCTTTCTCATTCTGGGATACCTCACTCAGAATGATCTTTTCTAGATCCTACCATTTGCCTGCAAATTTAATGATTTCCTTGTTTTTAATTGCTGAGTAGTATTCCATCATGTAAAAAAAATATGGAACCCTTCACAAATTTGCATGTCATCTTTGCACAGGGGCCATGCTAATTTTCTCTATATTGTTCCAATTTTAGTATATGTACTGCCAAAGTAAGCACTTATTTTCAGTCTTGTTTAGCCTCTTCCACATATATTAGACTTTACTCATCCAAAGGTGGTGGAGAGTAGTTCTACCCTCCTCTTACCAGAGCACCCTTAGAATTTTGTGTGTTTCTAATAGTACTAAAGAACTGAATGTGTGTATATATACATATATACGTGTCTGTATATGTGTGTGTCAATACATGTGTGTATTGATTTCTGAAAGCTATTTGAAGGCTTGCAATGTACAATATTGTCACTTCTCTTTCTTAATATTACTCAGAAAACAATCTGTGTCTCTTTAAATACTGTTATAATATTATCCCTTTTATGTCCAGTGAGGGAGGTTTAAACACAAGAATAAAGCAATGAGCCATGAGGTGAGTGGCAGTATTTGGGGAGGAACAAAAATTACCTTTATATTTTAATCCTGCAAGGAGGGTGTAATTAGTGTACAGAGGACAATATTCACTTCTACTCGTGTGAAGACAGGCCTCCTGTGCTCACACCTGACTCCCTCTGCTAACATTGGAACTCCCTGGCTATGCACAGAGAGGCCAGGTGCCTTTTCCTTTTAGCAACTTGTGATTGCTTAAAGGTCGTAGAGTGATAATTTTATTATTGCAGTTAGAAGATGAACCTGTTAGGAAATAAAAGTGACCAGGTGTTCACCCCTCACAGCACTGTAAAGAGAACGATGAGGCCAGTCACTTCTTTCCATGAGATGTTGGCCTTTAATTGGTAAGTCCAGGATATAATAACAGCCAGCAGAGAATGGCTTAAAGCCTTGTTTGCCCCAGATGGTCATAACAGGACTATTGTCTTTGTATGGTGACCATGGTCTTTCGGAGCCGCATTTTTTTATTTTATTCCCTACAATTCTAAACATTTTCACGTTTTCCTTTTGTTACGATATATTCCTTTTCTGGAACCATCTTTGGGAAAACTCTGGCCATTACATTCACTTCATCTACTCTTATTATATAACCACCTCATAAATTTATGCCACTATTTGAGTATTATGTTGTTTGAGGGTTTTTTCCCTCCCTTTCAAAACATAATTGACTCATTTCAACTCAGAAATGGACACAGCAGAAGAAGGCAGTACTCTGTCCACTCCAACAAGAAAAAAACAGCAGAATAAACTACAAACTAATAACCCTTCTCAAACTCTGCTCTCTTTGAAATCATGACCTATTTTTAATGAATTCTTATTATGTTCATATGTCTATGTATATATACATACATACATATATAATCCTACATATAGCCTGCTCAGATTATATAATGTTACTTGTGTGTACATGTTTCAGAGCTATTTGATATTGGATAATTAATTGGTTTGCTCTTCCATGAAGAAGACTATTTCTCCATGGAAGAAATGTTATCTCCTACTCTCAGAATTCCTTAACCTGCCAAAGAGGAGGTGGAAAAATGCAGGCACCAGAGGATCAGGAAGTTTGATGTGAGGTGGTATCTTTTAGTAATGTCTGAAGCTACACCAATGAAGTCTCACCAACACAACTTCCCAGACACGAACTGAACAAGGATGATATCACGCCAATATGAAAATTTCTTGATGGGAAGCTGGAGTCTACTCCTCTGCATCTAATCCAGTTATGTAAAATATTGGAAGATTATATCAGAGTAGACACATTGAATTTGGATGTGCATATGATAAGGATTTATAGGGCTATTGTGAAGAAAATGGACTGAAACATTCCAGTTCTCTCTCTCTCCTTCTCTACATATATATATTTCTATATATATAGTGCAGTGTTCTATATGAATAACCACATTCCATGGCCCTAAAACTTTACATAATTATCGAGCATCCAAGAATATCATCTTCCTTACTCCTGTGATAAAAACCTGCACTATGGCTCTCCTTGGTAGTTGTTTCCTAAGCCATGGGTTCTGGGATCTACTATGTCTGATTCTTTTTGGTTTCGTGACTTTGGTTAAATTATCTCTCTGTCTTCTGATGCCCTCTTCTTAGGATGGGCACGGTAGTGTGCGCCCTCTCCATTTCTGGATAATAAAATGATGTGCCCAGAGTGGGACAACACCTGTACACAGTAAGTACTATACTGTCATCCATGGTCCAGTTGTTTTGGTACCATTATCATGCTGTATTCCTATTTTTTAAGCTTACATAATACAGACTATAAGAACTGAAATGCCATAAAACGCTTTTTTTTCAGTTAAAAAATAAAAAGAAAAATAGAGTTGCCATTCTTATAAATTTAACTTTGTCACCTACATTCAGGAATGGAGTTAACAAGAACAGAGAAGAGTGTTACAGGCAAGAAATGGTTACATAACAGAAAAACAAGTCCCCAAACACTGAGCAGTTTTCTTGTCTGATCTTGAGTTAGGCTGCTTGTGTCACAGAGTTTAGACAGTCTTGTGGTAATAATGGCATGTCAGAATTAAAGGGATAGGACTCTTTAATCATCCTGCACAAGTTGATTGAAAGTTATCACATGCAGATGTTAACTAATGACTTGTTAAAACCCCCAGAAAAGGTCAGTCCTGGTGTTTTATTGCCACTCATCTGAAACACACAGACACTATGCTCTCAAAAGGCCATGCTCAATACAAACAGTAGAAGTTCAGAATGAATATGGATGAAAATATCAATCAATGGAAAAATCCAGGTTCAAAAAAAATCAGTCCTCATTACTTAAATTTTGATGAGGAACTTCTACTAGGGAAAAGTTCTCTTTAACAAACAGTGTTGGAACAACTGTATATGTACTTGCATCTGGCAACACTGAACCCTTACTTCTTGCTGTAGACAAACTTAATTCAAAAGGGACCACTGACTTGCGCGACTTGCTCATCAATCCTACTACACAAGGTTCTTTGATGAAAACACAGACATGACTTTTTGTGACCTCGGATTAAAAGTGTTCATAGCAATGACACCAAAAACACACATGTCAGAAAGTCAAAAGTTTTGGGGGTACAAAGAATCGACCCACAAAGTGGAGAACCCCCACCGGTTGCTAACTGGATAGGAAACATGTATCCACAGCCTGAGAAAGTGTGTTATAAGTCAGTAGAAAAAGAAAAGTAACTCAACCAAATATGGGCACATGGTGCTTATAGCTGGTCTTACCTACTTTGTAGGTTCTTCTTTCTTCCACCCTTCTCTGCTCTTTTCCCACTCTTTCAACCCCCTAACAATAGATATGAAAGAACAAAAAAAGAATAGAGAGGAAAGAAAAAAAATCCCTTAATAAAGTCAGAGAACGGGGTGATGTTATCATTAAGGTCCTTCCTGCTGATTAGGATTGTTGATCTCATTTTGGGCAAGTTTGATCTTCTTTGTCAGGATATCTGATTTTTTGTTGTTTCTTCACTGGGCACAGCTACTTAGCGCACCGCGACCAACAGTAACTACCAACCAACCAACAACCCACTTATCGGGCTCTAGCATGTATATACCCTCAGAATTCCAAACATCACACAATCACAGAAAGTATCTGCAGCTGGCAAAACCATGCCACTGCATGAGGCAAATTGTAGTCAGCTTCTGTAAAGCAGCCCCATATTCCCACACCTGGGATTAAAATAAAAACATACTCTTATAATGTGGCTGTGTTTTTAGAGAAACCGAAATTCCAGAATTCTCACTACAGGTACTAATCTTCTGTTCTAAAGCAGTCATATGAATGATAAATTAACATACAGAACTATAACTGATGTCACTACTTAGATAATAAAAATTGAAGCCAGGATGAGATATTACTTTCTACCATATCTCTGGCAGCAAGGAAATGTAGTTAATAACAAGCATTAGTGAGAATTGTGGAATTTGAAATAGACACCATTGATAAGAATATAAAATGAAGCTGCCAGTATAGAAATCAGGACAGTTCCCTAAAAGGTTAAACATGGGATTTCTATGTCTACTAGACATATACACAAGAGGACTTAAAACATCCTTGCAACATTCTGTACATGCATATGCAGAGCAACATTTGAAAAGATCTGAGATTAGAAACGACCTATGTGTTCAGCTCATGAATATATGAACAAATGTGGTATATCCACAGTAAAGTTAGCTGTGTCTCTGTTAACATGGTCTCTCACATAAACATTTTTAAAAAACAGAAAGGTTTGTTTTGCCTCAGGGCTTGGAAAGTGCAGTCAGCATTGATCGGCTGCTTAGCTTTGAGGTCTGTCCTATGCATTGATTTGCATGCAGCACGCAGCAAAGCAAAACTATTCACCTCCTGGCTGGAAACCGAAACAAGAGACCAGGGCTTCCACGATTTACTTCAGGGGCACGCTTGCACCTTTTCTATGACCCAAGATTTCCTCCTAGGTATTTGCAAACGTGTATGTGTGTATGTGTGTGTGTGTGTGTATGTATGTGTGTATATCTGTGTGTTATGTGTGCATATGTGTGTGTCTACGTATGTGTGTGTGTTTGTATGTATGTGTATGTGTGTGAGTGTGTATGAGTGTGTGCGTGTGTGTGTGTGTGTGTGTGTGTGTGTGTGTGTATACCTTCCCAAATTTCTGTGAACCACATGTGTGCAGGGGTCCCAGGAAAGGAAAACACAAAGGATGGTGAGAAATCTGCATCCTCTAGAACTGGAGTTATGGGTTGTTGTGATTCACCGGATATGTATGCTGGCAACCAGTTCTGCATCCTTTACATGACTGGTCCACCAAGCCTTATCTCACTTCTTAAAGGTCCTTCAATCTCCCAATCGTGTCAAACTGGTGAACAAACCTTTAATATATGGGCCTCCAGGAGACACGGACGATCGACATTGCAGTAATACTGAAGTGAACTGTGGATTCCCAGTATCACCTAGATTAAACATGGAAATGTTATGGCATGAGGAAGAAGTCAGTTGCAAAAGCCTGCATTCTGTATGAGTTTACTTATAGGCCATGTCTACAATGAGCGAGTCCATAAAAGGCAGAAAGTAAATGAGCAGTTGTGTGTGGCTAGGGAGAGGGGAGTAGGCACTGTGTAAGCGTTCTCAGAATGGGG